CCCTATGGCCAGACACCACCCCCTTGCACTGGATATTCAGTCAATGCTGGCCATAGTCTGGCTGTTCCTCCTGAACCTGCATAGCCAAGGCCTCCAAGCTGGGCTCTGCCTGTAGCCAACAGGAGGGGACCCACTGCATTGCTTTTGTCTCTATCAGGCCTTTTCCAACGAGATCCACCTCTCTAGAACCTCATTCCAGTGCTGGTGGGGTAAGGCCAGGAGGCCCCAAGCTATTGGGGTGGGAGGAACTTTGAACTCTTATGGAAATTGAGGTTGCCCAGGGCTAAGCCAGTTCCCAGTAACTTGCACAACCTGAAAGGCCTTTGGAGGATGGGCAGCAGGTGGCCGCTCAAGGGAAGCGCTTTCTAAGCTGGCTCTAGCCATTAGCAGTTGGTCCTCAAGTCCAACTTGGGCCTTGGGAGAGGATGGGCCTTGTCAGTGACAGGTGATGTCACAAACCCAGAGACCAATGGGAAGCAGTCAGGCTAGAAGCTTCCACTCCCATCCTGGTGGTGACCAACATTGGTCCTGGTTAGTGTGAAGAAGCTGAGCCCAGAGCATCACTCCTCTGGTCTCATGTGGTCACAAGTGTACTGGTTGCACGTAGCTCCGTGGGAAGAAGCCCAGGCGCCCGCCTGCCCGACCCCGCCACCAGTGTGGGTCCTCACGCTCCACAACTTCCACGATGTCACCTCGGCGGAGGCTGAGCTGAGATGGATCCTGTGCCGAGAAGTCAAACTGGGCCTGGGCAAAGCAAGCCCGGGATGGCTGTGGAGAAATAGAGGGCAGAATAGTCAGTGACCTTTGGAGGCAGCAACCTGTCTGTCCCCAGGAGTCCCATGGGAGGAGTGAGTTCCTGCTGGGGGGAGGGGGCATGGACCCTCTGCTGATCAGGTAGTGTGTGGAACTTAAGTCCTGGGCCTCGGATGGGATTTGGTTAGGCTTCTGATTCTCTCTGGGCCCACATACACATGGTAACTGATGCCAGGCGTGGAAGTGCTTAATGGCTTAGAAATTGCTAAGGAGAAGTTTCTGCCACAGCCCCCTCAGGCTTTCAAGAGTGGAAACCCTGCTCCTGCTCTCTGCTCTCAGGTCTGGGAGTTGTTGCATCAGCCCATTTCTAACTCTTTGGCTCCAGTGTTTTCCCGACTGCCCTTGCCAGGTACCTTCAGTGCCCAGCACAGGGCGCTCCTCTGCCTCTGCTGAGCCTGCAGAACTTCTAAACACGATAGGATCAGTGGGCTCTGCCCAGGAAGGAAGAAGCTCACCTTGCCCCCTGCCAATGGGTGACCCCAGGGCTCTGACAGAGCCAGTGCAGGGCTTTGGGAGACTGGGTCTCAGAAAGCTTTCGGCTGACCTCACCAGGCTGGGCATTGGAGCCATGCGGGCACTATTAGGGTCTCTGAAATCACAGTGTATCTCTCCTGGTAAAGCACCCATCCTATTGAATGGAGGGGAAACCGAGGCTCAGCTAAGGGTTGAAATGAGCCCCCAGGCCATATAGCAGGCTATCAGCAAAGAGGAGAAAAGCACAAGGCCTGATTGTGCAAAGTTGGCCCCCTCCCCAAGCCTTGGCTAGAGTCACACTCCCCTCCCTCTCCACAGCACTCAAGTTCAAATATGTCCAGATCTTGATTTGTCCCAGCCCCTAAGCAAAACACTGAGCTGCACTAATAACCCAGTTGGCTGGTGTCGTCATCCTAATGAGAGTGAGAGCTGCTCCCGGCTCCTTGATGAGAGGGCAGGCTGCTGCCAAATTGCTGTTATTGTGAAGAGCAGGGGTGGATGGATCTTCCTACATGCTGGGCCCAGCCCGGCCTTGTCCCTGAGGGTCACATTGCCCACATCCTGTACAAGTTCGGCTACTCCTCGGGGAGCAGAGTCCAGGAGTTCTCATGAGCTCACTCGCTCTCAGCCTTAGTTTCCTCATCTGTATAACGGGAACAGTGAAGTGCTCATACTGCAGAGTACCAGGTTCATCCCAGCAGTTGGGAGGCTGAGGTAGGAGGATCACTGTGAGATTTCAAGGCCCATCTGTTATATACATAGTGCATCTCAGGCCAGCACGAGATCCAGAGAAAGACCCTGCCTCAAAACAAAAATCCTGAAACCAAAACCTAAGTCAGAATGCATAAAGCAGCTCAGGTGTGGGACTCAGCAGATGCCCAGACATAGAGTCATTAACAAGCACTTGTTGAGCGCCTACTGCATACCCCAGACTATTTCAGTCTGTGTTGGCAAAATGGAGTTTCTGCCCTGTCCCCACCTTCTATGCTGTCCTTCCCCCCTGCCTTGCCCTGCTTGGTCCTTAACTCCTGTAGGGACCATCCTCATGTCACTTTGGCGACCTGAGCTTCTGGGGAATGCAAGGAGATGCCCCTCAGACTCGGGCCTTCTCGTCCTGTCCTTACCCTGATCAGTGGTTGCTCATCACACAGGAAGATCTGCCGCCTCTTAGCGATGGTGGTGGTTCGGTAGAAGTCGACCAGCTCGTTGAGGGAGTTGAACTTCTCCTCCCACAGGAAGTACTTCCCTGAGGCCTCTCGAAGCACTTTGAAGTGCTGCACCTGGTCGCCATAACTGGGAGGAAGACCCAATACGTCAGACCTGCCCCCACCTTTGGAGCCAGGCCCTGTTCTGGGGAGATCTGGAGTCAAAGGAGGCAAAGATCCTGGGAGCCATCCTGGCAGTAGAATATGGGATTCAGGGTATGAGTGCTAGACAAGGCCACTTCCTAGCTGTGTGTCTTCAAGAAAATCATTTAACATTTCTGAACCTCTGTTTTCGTATAGAGAGAACAATTCAGATAAGAAAGCTGAAAAACGTTCCCCCATCTTTCTTCCCTCTGCCCCCTCAGTCCTCACAGTACTCTGAGGATTGAGTCCCAAGATCTTCCTGCCCCCCCACCAAACTCTGTACCTATGAGAGACACTCAGATGTTCTGAACATTCCATGTCCTCAAGAGACTCCTATGGCTGTCACTACCTTCTGGTTTCTTGTCTTTTCTGACCTCTCTGACACCAATGGCCCCTTTCTTTTCCTTTCTTTGCTCAGCCTTTTTAACCAATGCACCAAACTGTACTAAGCCCAGTCCCCATAAACCAGACCATCCTGTGAGGGGCCTGCCTGGGCCTAGCTAACCTGTTGCACACCAGGACAGCCTGCTAGCATGTGTGAGCAGAAAGGCAGCAGCTATAAGTTCTGGGACCCCTTTTCTGTCGCAGGGTGGTTGGCCCTGCCTCCTGGCCCAATGAACAGGAGGGAAACCGTGAGTGCAGCCACAACCTGTTCAGAAATCTACAGGAAGGCTGGGTGGGGCGGCCTCTCATTAAAAATGCTCACAGGAGCTCTCCAATTGATTACTCGTGGTGACAGAGACAGTTGTCACTCCCATTGGGACAATATGTCCCAGATATTCCCAATTTGGCCTGCTCCCAGGTCTGTGCCCTCCAGAGAGACTACCCCCCTTCTGAGTTCTGTAGCCCCCACCTCGAGGCCCTCCACTGCTCAGTCTCTCCCCAGCCCCAGGGTCGGGCTGCTTCACATGGTTAACAGTGAAGATTTAGGATGAATCTGAGGCCGCTCCCTACCCAACCCAGTCTAAAGTCTGGAGAGGGCGTCACCTCACGCCTGTAACCCCAGCAGTGTTTGTAACCCCAGAGTCCAGCTTGAGGCCAGCGTGGACTACATAAATAAGCATCTCTTTGGCCTTGACCTCCCAGTAGGAAAGAATTCTCGTATTCCTACTCATGTTCAAGACCCTGATAAATACCCACCTCTGGAGAGCCAATATCACACTCACCGTTGGGGTCAGGGTTCAGCTTGGGTCACTGCATCCTGATCCAGCTTTATTGCTCACATAACTCACAAAGGCTTGCATACAGGCACCAGAATGGAGAGAGAAAGCTCCCCTGAGGGTCCAAACAAGCTCTCTTTGCCTTCAGTTTTTATCACAGAGCCGCCCTGAGTAGCCCTCACCACATACTTTGCTGAGGGCTTTTCCATGGGGGCTGTAGCCACCAGGTGACCTGGCCTCGAGCTAGCCCTACCAACAGCTACAGCCCTGCTATGCTCCTTTGGAAGGGCCCGTTTCTCCAAAAGAAGGCTTCAGTCAGAGTGCCACAAACCCTGAGACTCAGACAAAACTGCTTACGAGCTGACAGCGTACTGTTTGCAATGACTAAGTTGTAGAGGCTGAGGGTGGGCAGGGGACAGTAGGTCCACCTCGCTGGCCTCAGGTGTAGCTGCATGGAGAGGGGTCATTATGAGCAGCAGGGTGAGTGTGGCTAAAAGTACAGAGAAAGGCAGGATGGGATGGGGCAGGGCAGGCTCTGGACTCCTAAATTCTTGTTCCTCCATAAGCAGCTCAGAGCCTGAGGCTTGGAGAACTTTGCAGAGGAATGCTCTTGGATCCCATTGGAGAACTGGGGGACAGGGCATGGGGCCAGGAGTTCTAGAACTTTCCAACCTGTCAGCTGGGAAATGTTCAGGGCTGGGCAGTGTAACAGTCAAGGCTGTATGTGGCTTGGATTGTCCTTTGCCACCTGCCCATAACTGCCCCTGTTTCCCAGCTAAGGAGGGCTAGACTGTCGGGGTGGGGGGAGTCAATCCTTCTATGTCATCATCCCACACTACTCGTCAGGACCCCACCCTGCCCCCAAGCCCCAGAGTTGAGTTCTGGAGAAGAGGCAGCATGGACTGGACTCCTGGTGTCTGCAGTATGTTCTTGTACACTGTATCTTTACCAATTCCCACCTCTATGGAGGTGACTTGCCGGCACCCCTTGCTGGGCAGCATTTTGTGACCCTGACCCCAACCCCCACTGTGACTGTGCTGTGCCTGGTCCCTGCATCAGAAAACTCAAGGTCTTAGTCAGGCCAGTCTTGCTCAGCAAGTTTTTCCTGCCTAGTTGCAGTAGCAGCAACAGCTAAGAGGGGAGCCAAGGGTAGGTGGGCAGGAGCCATGCTCCCATTTTCCCAGCTGAGGCTCACAGGGACCAGGGCTGGGCACTCACTGCGCTATCCACTGGGGAACAAAGGAGAGCAGAGTCCTTACTGCAGCACACAGGGAGAACAGGGATGGCTTTGAAAGGACTGGGCACTGGGGAGACAGTTCTCTACTAGGTCTCTGCGTCTGAGAGAATGGTCCGCCTGAACACTTGAGCTCAGTAGCAAGTGTCTCACCGTCAAGTGTGGGTTTCCTTACCTGCACACTGGGATCCAGCAGCCCAGCCCTGCTCATTTTCCCCAGGTCCCACTATTTACTAATCCTTGCTCTTTATCACTGGAGCAGCACTCAGGGAACAAGGACCTTTGTCTTATTTTGTGATGGCCCCAGGGACAGGACCTGGTTCACAGTGGGTGCTTGCTGTGACCCTAGTCTGATGGAATAGACAAATGTGTGCTAACTCCAAGGCACCAGTCTGATGGTAGAGACAAGTGTGTACTAACTCTAAGGTCCCCATGGCTAGAAAGGAAGCAAGACACTTTAATTGGTGTCCATCTCCCATCAGCCATGACAGAGGGCTCTCAGGGGTCTGGATAGGGGTATGAAAGGAAAGTTAGGCAGACAGGTGCCACCCAGTGGGCTCAGGGGGGTTCAACTCTCTGAAACCTGCCCAATGAACTGGCTGTGGCTATTGGCACTGTTCAGCACCCAAGGTCCATAAAACCACCTGTGACAACTTTATGTGTCCTGGCATGGATTTGCAGGAGACCCATGGCAGGGAGGGTGGAGGGTCTCTACACTCCAGGTTGGCAGGTTGACCTCAGGATCTCAGGTGAAGAATGACCACCAAGAGAGGACCAGAGCCTGACTAAAGTCATACATCAGTCGCAAGTAAAACCAGGGGGAGACCAAAGCTCCCAGTATTCTCTACTAGTTTGTCTTCCAGAGAGCCCTGGGCGAGAGCAATGGGGCCAGAAGTGGCCTTGGAACAGGGGGCTCCCCTTCAAGTCCACCATGAGGCCATAGTTAGACAGTGTACATCCAGAGGTCTGTTCATACCAATACCTACTTCATGGGCAGAGAAGCTGAGGCTCCCAGGATAACTTGCCTGGATTTCAGGGTTAGGGAGTATCTGAGCTGGGACTCATTCCCTTTCTGGGAGTCAGTTTCAAGATCCCTGGCTCAGCCTAAGAGGAAGCAAGGGTGGAGATGGCCACCTGGTGGCTGTAAGTGTAATCGCAGTGCTGAGCTGGGGAAACTCTGGCCAGCCAGGTCTAACATGAGCGGGTGCCCCAGGACTTCTTGAGAAGGGACTGGTGGGTGTGTGCCAGGATTTCTTTGCACACTGTGCATCAGCTGAGCTCACCTACTGAAAACCTGTCCCAGCACACTGCCATCTCCCCTTCTGGTCAGGCTTGTTAACATCTAAACGGACTTCACTGTACAACCTCTGATTGGATCTTCACACATATAGTTTCCTGTGCCTGGCACTCCCAGACCCCAGCAGAGCTCCCACACATGCTAAGGCCTGGCTCTGCTGCCCCTTCTCCTCTAAGAGTATGTCTTCTGTTTGTGGACTTCCTTGGGTCTATGTGTATTCCATCATGCTTCCTGGCTTCTGCCCTTCTGCCCTGTCCCAGGGTGGCTAGCCAGGGCCACCCTTCAAGAGCTGCCAAGGCAGCCTGGGTCTGTGGGGAGCTCAAGAGGAGTGTGATGGGACAGGTTTCGCTCTGCTCCTACTCCAGGCCTGATCTGTGCTGGGTGCCCCAGCACTAGCTGTGTGGGCTAGGTGATCTTGGAACTTCGGGGAAGCTTCCAGGAGTTACTGAGACTGGGCTATCCTCCTAGTGGCTCATCCCTAGAAGTCACTTCTTGCTGTGACCTGTAGGGAGTTAAGGGGCAGGGATGTCCAGGCCAGACTCTGGTACAGAACCTTCCTGTACATGCAGTGCCAGATGAGCAAGAAAGGTGGAGAAGGTGTGGGGGACCCTCCTGGAGTAGCCAATGGCTACTGCATGGTTAGGGTGGCTGCCAAGCGACTGCAGGAGACAGAACATGTGATGATGCATCGGGCTGTAGCCTTAGAGCAGTAGCCCCACCCTGGTGTGGGCCTTGCAGCACCACAGGCAATCAGAGCAGAAGGGAGGGTCAGTAGTCTGCAGGAGCCGCAGGGTCTTCACACACGGCCCTGATCCTTGGAATGCCTGTGGTGGAAAGCCGCTGGCCAGAGGTCAAGCCTGGCCTGAGAGCAAGCATTCTTGAAGAGCCATAGATAGGCCACACCTTCCTTTGTCCCTTTAGCACAGTAGCATGTTGCATTCCACTACTCCAGGCACAGTCAGGCAACAGAGTCCCATCAGGCCGTGAGCCCACTTGCTTCCTCCTGCCGCCTCCCCAACAAAAGTCCCTCCTCCTCGCAGCCAGCAAGGGTTGGGGGGGCTGCTATGGATGGAACTTCCTCACCCCCTTCTCTAACCCTCATGGCTCCCTATTGCTCTGAGAGAAAACCCAAGCTGTGTACCAGTCCTCTGCCCTGTGCACCCCCCCCCTCTCCAAGTGTGAGCCAGGCAGTCCCGATGCCTTGTTTCCTACTGCTCCCACCACATGGCTTTGGGGTTCTTGTACAAAACATCCAGGACATCCCACCCTGGGGCTTTTCACTGCAGCTCCCTCTGCCTAGAAGTCTCCCCTGCACCAGGCAGAAGATTCCCTCCCAGCTCAGAGACCCTTCTCTGATAACTCCCTCACCTCCCATGAATGTGTTTCTTTGTTTTCTGTCTCCACAATACAGCCATTTCTGTCCTCTTTAGTGTTGTTTCCCAGCTACAAGCCAGCCTGGCTTAACTTAGAAGTCAATAACCCATCAGGGTTGGCAGCGAGGGGCTGACCCAGCTTCCCTCAGTCCCTTCTGCTTTACCAGACTGAGGAGCCACCATGTTCATCTTAGTAAGCCGGCACATGGTCCCCAGTCCAGCATCCCTGCTTTGGCTTTGTTGCCAGGCACTATCTTATAAGGTATGAGTTCCTCCCTATGGAGTAAATACAGCATTTTGCTTTAGGTCTACTGACTCATTCTTCCAATGACCTATTTTATCTATGAGGAAACAGGCTCAGCAGGGTTAAGTCACTGGTCCTGTGCCACACAGCCACAAAGTGACAGCATCAGAATTAGAAGTACCTGGCCTCAGAGTCTGTTCTGTCAACAACATTGTCAAATGGGACCTGTCGGCAGAACTTTCTGGACACCAGCCTAGGGCTCCATTGGGGATCCTCCCCCCTCTAACCAAGAAACCTCCAAGCTTGCTTACTGAGTCCTTTATCCAGTCAGTAGCCCTGTCAGACTTCCCCCTGCCCCCGCACCCACCCGCTCCACCCTGGAGCTCACTTCACAGAGACTGAGAACTCGCCAGGGGAACTCTCGCTCTCTCGGATCAGGAAGGCTCCGAGGTGGTTACGCTTCATCAGAGTCTCTTCAGCCAGCTGTCGAGAAATCCTGCCCGAGTACCACCTGTGGGGAGAGGGGACAATGTCTGCAGGTATCCGTTAGGTCCATGGCAGGGCTGGCCCTCATTCCCTCCTCAATGGTATCATTGTGACCATTTTACACATGGGAAAATTGAGAAACAGGGAAGAGAATTAAGGTCACATAGGAGAGGCAAACCAGAGCTGAGGCAACCAGTCCCTGCTGTTTCTTACCAGGCCAGGCAAACCCACACCCAAGATAAAAAAAAAACAGAGTCAGGCGCTCCACCAGCTGGCACGCCTCAGTCTGACTTGTAGAGGAAGATTATCTTTCTTTTTTTTTTAAGATTTATTTGTATTATTTTTTTTAATTATGTGTATTACATGCAGGGGGTGGGGTACATGCACATGAGTCCAGAAGAGGGTGTCAGGTCTCCTAGAGTTGGACTTACGGGTGGTTGTGAGATGCCTGATGTAGGTACTAGGAACCAAGCATGGGTCCCCTGCAAGAGCAGTATGCACTCTCAAATTATTTGTTTATTTCCGTGTGGACACATGCATGTTCAGGAATGTACATACTACATATATGTAGGCCAGAGGACACTATGTCAGTTCTCCTCTTCCACCGTTCAAGTCCTGGGGCCTGAAATCAAGTCACTGGGCTGGGCAAGAAGTGCCTTTAACCACTGAGCCATCTCACTGGGGTTTTAAAAGTTAAAAAGTTAAAAATTGTGCTAGGGTGTGAGTCCATAGAGCGCTAGCCTAGCATGTGCGAGGCTCTATGCTCGTCCTCGGCACCACAAATAAGTAAGGATGACATCAATGATAGTGGCCCTCCTTCCCTGTGCCCCTCCCAAGTAGAAGCAGACTTGGTACAGAACTGTACCTGCTAAGTCTTGGACTCTTGCAAGGCAGGAGCAGCCTCTCCTGGGGTCCTTCCTGTCTGCTGGCCTAGCCAGCTTCTGCAGCAAGGCCTTGAGGGCTTTTCCAGCCAGCCACTCTCAGCTTACTGACCCTAGGGCATTTGAGCTCCTAGGGTAGAGTGCTGGACCCAGAGGGGATTCTCTGGGAAGTGGGGGGACCTCAGGAACTGGAAACTGCCTGCCATGCCTGGGCATAACTCCAAAATCCACACATTGGAACTTGGTCTCAGTGGTGGCTATCTTTTGGTTGTCAACTTGACTACATCTGGACTTCACTAAAACCCCCAAATAGAGGGCACACCTGTGAGGGATTTTTGCTTAATTTGAAGTGGGAAGATCTACTTCTGATCTGAGTCTCTGAGGTAGAAAGACACACTTTTTTAAAAAAAGAATATATTTTTTAAAAGATTTACTTGCTGGGCGGTGGTGGCGCATACCTTTAATTCCAGCACTTGGGAGGCAGAGGCAGGCGGATTTCTGAATTCGAGAGTTCGAGGCTAGCCTGGTCTACAGAGTGAGTTCCAGGACAGCCAGGGCTACACAGAGAAACCCTGTCTCAAAAACAAAACAAAAACATAAACAAAAAAAACAAAAAAAAAAACACAAAAAAAGATTAACTTATTTTTATTTTATGTATATGAGTGCCCTGACTTCTTGAATACAAGAAGAGGGCAGTGGGTTTCATTACAGATGGTTGTGAGCCACCATGTGGTTACTGAGATTTGAACTCAGGACCTCTGGAAGAGCAGCCCATGCTCTTAACCACTGAGCCATCTCTCCAGCCTGGAAGACATGCTTTTAATCCAGATCTTTGGAACGAGGATAGCCCACCTCTAATCTGGGCCATACCTACTGAAAGCCTATGTAAAGATATGGAGGGAGAAAGTCTTTGCTCTCTCCCTGCCTACCATTGACTTGCTAGCAAGTCCATTCCTTCACTGGAAGTCCATACTTCTATTACAACCAACTTCAGGATTCCAGTGTGCACTGAATCAGCTGAGACGTCTAGCTCTGTGGACTGAGCAACTACTGGGTTCTTGGACTTTCTGTTCATAGCCAGCCATTGTTAGATTAACTGGAAGAGAGGGGGAGGGAGGGAGAACTCTAATACAGTCTCTACAGCAGATCTATAGCAGAGGTGAGAGGTGGGACCACTGGGTGACAGTGACAGGATCATGGGGGGATGGGTCTAGTAGGCTGTGAGTTACAGAAGAAGGGTCACCTACTTGAAGGACAGTTGAAGGAAGTTCTAAATCTCAGTTCTCACCACTCCATGTTTGACTATACGTTGACTAATGTTGCTTCTTGAACTGGGGTGGAAACTGAAACCCAGGGAGGACTGGGGTCTCCCGAGAGGCTGCTTAGCAAGTCTGAGGTTCACCCACACACAGCTGCTCACAGGCTTTCTGTCCCTCTCTGGTGGCTCATGAAGGGCCTCCACCACCAGCTGCAACCCCAGTCTACTTCTTGCAGGCTAAGTGATCCTGGACAAGCCACCCAGGCTCTCTGAGCCTCTGCTGGTCAATAAGGTGATGGGTTTTGTTGTTTGTGTGTTCATTTGTTTGTTTGTTTGTTTCTGAGACAGGATTTCTCTGTGTAGCCTTGGCAGTCCTGGAACTCGCTCTGTATACTGGGCTGGCCTCAAACTCAAAGATCCATCTGCCTCTATCTCCCACGTGCTGGGATTAAAGGTGTGTACCACCACCACCCAGCCTATAAGATGATGTTAATAGTTCCCACCTAGGCGGGCAGTGGGCAGCTATAGGAACAGCAGAAGGTGTTTCTGCCAGCCGCTTTCATAACATGCTTCATACCCCACCTCCCACACATCCCTGGACCTGTTTCTGTCATCCCTGGTAAACTTCTATTTGAACCTTCAGGCCCAGGGACCTATGTTTTTCCTGAGGAGCCCTCCCTGCCCCTACAATCACTTCACTACTTTTCAACTCCACTGAGAATACAGGGTCTGCATCACCTGGTCCAGAGGCTGAGAATATCCTGGGGCTCAGGGTAGGCCTGGCATAGACAGAAGCCTTCTAGGACTACAGCCTCCTCTCTCCCCACCACCACATTCAGAGCCTTTACACCCAAGACAGGATGACCCTCACATCTGTTTTGGGCCAGGGTAGGGCCTAAGATGACCAAACCAGTTACTCAGCAGGCCCTTCAGGATCTGGTGAGGACCTGATCATGACCCTGCTTGGTCCAAGGACAGGCAGGTGGTCAGGCCTGCCTTCCAGACACCAGGGACTTGAGTTCCTTGACTCTTGATGAACCCTCCTTTGTCTTGGGCCCCATGACAGCCTGACTGAGGACTGCAGCCCTTGTAATCCCTCTCCTGGCCCCAGGTCAGGTCTGTTAGCAATTCAGACCCTACAGCCTTCCGACCTTTGCCTTAAGCCCTCCCTGTGACCACCCAGGCCTGAGCTCCTGCATGCCCCAGACTTTCGCCTGGCTAGCACCCAGGTAGCACGCTATGCTTCTTTCTCTTCATGTGTGTCCTCCTTGTCCTGTCTCTGGGTGAGGGTGTGCCATGCAGGAAAGCCAGCAGAGTGGTTAGGGATGAGGACCCGGCATAGGGCTATGTCTAGCAGAGGAAGCCAGAGGTGGCAATGAGGTGGCAGCAGCTTTAGAAAAAAGACAAAGAGGAAATACCCTCGGGGCTCCACCCTGTACCTCCTTCCCTTCCACCCAGCCATACAGCACAGCTCCCCCATGCTGACTGAGCTCCCCCCTCCACCCAGCACCCACATGGCTCTCTGCTCCCTTGTCTCAGCTCCTGAAGCTCTTCTTGCCTGTCCCCTGTACTAAAGGTTCTGTTCATCACTTTCCTTACCTTGTTCTGGCTTATTCCCTCTTTCCACCTTCCCCCACAAATACTGAAAGTCATTTCCTTGTCTATACAGCCAACTCCTCAGCATCCCTCAGCATCTCACTCATTGTCACCTTTCCTGAAAGGCACCCTGAAGCTGCCTGCCTTTCTACACACACTTTCTGTGCCCTGTGTATCCAACCATTCTGATCCCCTGTCCCTGTGTCTGGCTTTCTGGAACCAGATCAATGACCCAGATGCCATTTAAGGTATATTGAGTTGGTGTTCAAGGATCATTTAGCTGCCCAGACATTCTGAGATCAATACTGGATACCATCTGCTAAGAGCCTGACCTAGGTCCCAGGCCTGAAACATCTGGCCCAAACTGGACTTCTAGCCTATCCAAGTCCCAGGCCAGTCAGCCAGTGCTCATCTTCTTGGAGTGTGTTGTACCCAGGGCCATCCCAAGCAGCTTGGCTCTGGCAAGGCAAGGTGGGGTCGCATAGCCTCCAGGTGGATGGTGGCAGTGGTGACTACTCACGGGTGTGGCTTTACACGAATGTAGTTCTTGGGAACAAAACCTTCAGCTCCTCGGAGCTCGGCCTTGTACCAGTTCTGGTCATCTTCCATGTTCAGGATCTGTGAGAAGGAGCAATATGTTTACTCGGCTGCCTGCTGAGGTCCTGCTGCCTGCTGCAGCTCCCAGGCCTCTCCCAGAGGACAGAGCCCTGGATGAGGACCTATTGCATCTCACAGGCCACGCCTGCCTAGTGGCAGGTGGACATCTACAGGAGGCCTGTGCCTCCTGGTGAGACAGCTGAACCTGGGCAGGTTTGGGGTTAGGGCATGGCCTTTACATTCTTCCATCCAGACCCCCAGGGGTCTCAGGGACAGGGAGTAGACCTGTGCTCCTTGGTTCTTGAATGAGCTGTGTTCTCAGGAGCCCAGAACAGCCACTCAACGACCATTGAGATATGATATGAAGTTGGAGGCTCCCAGATGGGTCAGAGAACTCCAGTAGGTGGCTACCTCGGGTCACATGTATTTAGTGTTTGGGATGACAGTGAAGCTTGGAAATAGGGAAGCAAACAAAAGATCCCATGTTCGGATGAAACCAGTTTTCAGATTTAGGCCCAGATGCTTGGGCCCCACAGATACCCTTCAAGTCTATGTCCCTGTCACCCCAGGTGAACTAGCCAGAACTTGGTAGAAAGTCACTGGGTGAACCACTGAAGGGTGGGAAGCAGGCCTAGGAAGGGGATAGCACCTTCCATCCTGTGGGTACATTTGCCCTGTGTCACTTCAGTTCTCAAGTAAGCTGAAGAAGCTGACATCACCAAGTGCTGTTTCCAGGACAGGCTTAGAGAAGGAGTGGGCCTGGCCAGGGCGGCACAGCATACACAGCCCCTGCAGTTGGTATGGAGCTTTGGCAATGCTCCCCTCTGCACCAGGGCAACAGAAATGGGGAAATTGATATGTCCACATGTCTGCAAGTGAGATGGAACCCAGTCCTGAGCCCTCGCCCCCAGGAGGCACTGAAGCCAGGCTGAGCCCTTCCTTCCTTCCTGAAGAAGGTCAGCAGGGCAGGACAGGAGGAAGTAGATAGCTGGAGAGACAGAAGCGGGTAGCTGGCTCAGAACCACTTTCACTCTAAATGAGACAAAATTTCCCGGATGTGGCCACAGCTTGAGAAGGAAATCCTAGCCAGTGCTCTTGACCTACTTCCGTTGTCTCCAGGGATTTGGCTCCAGCACTAGCTGGAGCCCTGCACTAGCTTCAGACTTTAGCTTGTCTGTTAATGGGCATAGCTGTGGGCAACCATGGAAGGTCTCATGCTATAGTTCCCATGAGGCCACTGTGCCCTAAACCCTGGCCATGTGCTGTTCTGCCTCCATCCATGTCCTTGTGCAGACCAGGGATGCTTCTATGCTTACCTCAATGAATTCTTACTGTGGATGGGGCCCCGGACCTTTGGAGCTGTGGAACACCCCCCTCCAGAGAACATACTTCAGGTTAGTACTGCATTCTAGATCAAGGTCAGAGCCTGTCTGTCCCACCACTGGCCCTGCTTGCTGCTGGCCTACCTACTGCCCCCAGATGGAGTCACTGACAGCTTTACTAAGCACCTACTGGGTGCAGACAATAAAAGGAGTCCTGGAGGTGCCATGAGTGATAGGAGCCTGTCCCCAGGGATGCCTTAAAGAAGCTAAGAGATAAATAGCAGCTTCATACAGCGAGGAGTGTCATGTCAGGGAGCCTCTGTCTGGACAAGGAGCTGCCAGAGGGGCACACAGAGTCTCACACACACACAGGAGATACCCCAGTTTACAGGACAGGACCAGCTAGTTTGGTGGCCCATGCCTGTCACCCCAGCACTTATAAGGCTGGAACAGGATTTTGGGGTTCCAGGTCTGTTTGGACTACATGGTTAGGTCCTGTTTGTGGTTCTCCACCCTTCACTAGCAAAAGGAAAAGAAAAAAAAATCAACCATGAAAAGATAGGGGGCTGCCAGGCAGTGGTGGCGCACGCCTTTAATCCCAGCACTTGGGAGGCAGAGGCAGGTGGATTTCTGAGTTCGAGGCCAGCCTGCTCTACAGAGTGAGTTCCAGGACAGCCAGAGCTATACAGAGAAACCCTGTCTTGAAAAACCAAAAAAAAAAAAAAAAAAGAAAGAAAGAAAAAAAAAGAAAGAAAGAAAGAAAGATAGGGGGATAGTGTCTAAGGTAGAAGGAAAAGGGGGACAATCAGGGCAGAGGCTCTGAGATGGACCCAACTTTGGCCCCTTGAAAAAAGGCCATGGGTCCGAGGAGCACTGCACTAGCTCCATGACCAGAGGGGAGGGGAAGGGAGAGATACTCAGATTCCAGGCAGGAGTCCAGAGCTGGAAGGATTCAGGGGTAGGCTGCTAGGGAGATCTGCCATCAGCTTCCCAGGGAGATATCAGTCTGAGTCCCTGGGGCTAATCATAGAGAGATTGTGAGAGATTTTGTGTGTGTGTGTGTGTGTGTGTGTGTGTGAGAGAGAGAGAGAGAGAGAGAGAGAGAGAGAGAGAGAGAGAGAGAGAGAACAGCACCATGTTTATTCTCTAAATAACAATGGCTTCTGTCTACCTAGAAGGACCTGCCTGCCAAAGAGGGCCTTCATATTTCTGGGCCACATGTCCTGAGAAAGGCTGTGGTCTGGGGGTTTCCACTTACATTTTCTGAGCAGCACCTGGAGAGGAAGTTGTGTCCCACCTGCAAGTTGGCACCACTTGGTGTGACATAGTAACACCCACCAGAGCCCAATGGGGGAGAGGCTGGACGCCAGCACACAGGGTAGCCCTGGCCAGAGAGGAAGGGAGCTGCAGCACACAGGGCTCTAATGTTTCTAAGCTACCGACACCAGGAAGAGGCTATAGTGAGGTAGGGAAGCATTCTGGGGTCAAATTCAAAACGATGCCAAAAATCTCAGAATGAAGATAGTGAGTAAAATTTAACGTAATATGTTAACAAATTGAAATGCATTTGGAAGTGTGGATGGGTGCTGGTCAGTACTAATACATCAACCCAGTTCATCATGACCATGGCTAGCAGCTGGCAGCAGACTGCAACAGTGGGGACATCCCCTTTTATCTGTGCAGTTTCCCTGCCAGTCTGAAACAGGTCTAAAGCATAGCCAGTTAAAATCAACACAGAAGGGGTTGCAGGAGCAGGCAGTGCAGGGACCGTGAAGTGGGACCTAGAGGGAGAGCGTTCGCCCAGAATGCACAAGGTCCTGAGTTCATCCCTAACACTGCAAGAAAAAGGGGCAGGGCTGCAGTGCATGAGCCTCTATTCCAGCACTGAGGAGGTGAGGCAGGAGGATTACTGCAGGTTTGAAGCTAGCCTGGCTAGTGAATTCAAGGACAGCCTGGACTTCACAAGGAAACTTTGTCTCAAAAAACAAGAAAGAGGGCCAGGGAGATGGCTCAACAATTAAAGGTACTTGCTGCCAATCGTGATGACCTGGGTTTGATTCCTGGGATCCACATGGTGGCAGGGGAAAACTAAGTTCTACAAGTTGTTCTCTGGCCTCTACAAGTGTACTGTGGCATCTGTGTGCATGCGCATGCATGTACACACACACACACACACACACACACACACACACACATATATATACACACACACACACACACACACACACACACACACCCCACACACAAATAATTATAATTTTACAAAAAGAAAGAAACATGCAACTAAACAAAAAGAATGTGATTTTGCACTTGAACAGTCCTGACCGTTCTGCATGCTCAGGTGCTCTGGGTTGGAGAGAATGGGCTTCGGCCCCACCCAGCTGGTGCTGATCCTTCCACAGAGTGGTAAGGCTACCTACTCAGCCTCCTCGGGACAGTGATCATGGCTGTTCCACCACACCTACTCAGGTTCACTTCTGTATCTAATTTGTGCTGTGTGCACACCAGAACGCCAGCTGCCTGGAGGTGGCAATCCTGTCTCCCTGGCTGTTTGCTTTCTCATGATTAGCTGGAGTCTAGACCTGCATTTAGGACCTGCTGCCAGATACTTCAGAGTCCTGGCTGGTGCAAGAAAGGTGCCTGTCTGGTTATAAAGGGAGTTTCTGGGCCATATAACAGATTATTTTTCATTTATTCATTTTGAGACAGGATTTTCAATGCTGTCTAGCAATTGCTTCAACATCAGGGATGCCATCTGGACTACAGGGACATGCCATCTGGCCTAGTGCAAAAAAAAAAAATGTTTTTCTTCAAGACACAATTTCTCTATGTGTAGTCCTGACTGTCATGGAACTTGCTCTGTAGACCAGGCTGGCCTCAGACTCACAGAGATCTGCCTGCCCCTGCCTCCCAAGTGCTAAGATTAAAGGCATGCACCACCACCACCTGAGTTCTAGTGCAAAAATTTAAAGCTTTTTATACACACACACACATACACAGACACACACAAAAATAAGTATAATTTTACAGAAAGAACGAAACATGCAAATAAACAAAAAGAATGTGATTTTGCACTTGGACAGCCCTGACCATTCTGCATGCTCAGGTGCTCTGAGATGGAGAGGATGGGCTTCAGCCCCACCCCCACCCAGCTGGTGCTGGGTATTCATCTAGATCAGTGGTCCTCAACTTGTAGACTGTAACCCCTTTGGGGGTCGAACCACCCTTTTACAGGGTCACCTAAGACCATTGGAAAACACAGATATTTACATAGTAGTTCACAAAAGTATCAATATTACAGTTATGAAGTAGCAACGAAAATAATGTATGGTTGGGGGTCACCACAACATGGGGAACTGTATTAAAGGGTCACAGCCTTAGGAAGGTTGAGAACCACTGCCCTAGATCATTACGTCACTTCACCTGTCTGCCACCCCAACAAGGAAGCACAAACCTCTCAGTGCTCTCAGTAACCTTGGAGGTTTGTTCTTTTGTTTTTTTGTTCGTTTTTTGTTTTGTTTGTTTGTTTGTTTTCAAAAGCAAGTCGTTCTTAAAGTGGTGCTGGGCACGGTGGTGAACACAGTTGGTTACAGCACCAGAGAGGGAGAGGCAGAAGCAGAGGCAGAGGCCAGCCATGGCTACATAGCGAGATTCTGTCTCAAAATAATAAATTAATTAAAATAAAATACAGTGAAATCACACAGTGTGGGCAGTGACCTGCTCACATTGTCTCTAGCAAGTTTTTGTTTATGTGCCTTGTCTGTTTAAAGCCAGGCATAGTGGCAAGTGGCTTTAATCCCAGCACCTGGGAGGCAGGGGCAGGCAGATCTCTGAGTTCCAGGCCAGCCTGGTCTACATAGTGAGTTCCAGGACAGCCAGGGCTACACAGAGAAACCCTGTCTCGAAAACAAACAAACAAAACAAAACAAAGAGCTCTTTACATATTATTGTCATTTAGGTTAAGAAATTTGTCTTGGTCTGAGCTACTTCTGTGTCTCTCCTCCTCACTCAACAGTCCCAGACTCCTTTCTTCCCTCTCACACTTCAAACTCTTCAAACAGGTCAAGGTCCTGCTTTGAGGAGAATTCAGGAGACCTGTTTCTGGACTCAGTGCTCCCTCTCCCCAGGCTCTGGGCTGAGTGCTCCCTCTCCCCCAGGCTCTGGGCTGGATGCTCCCTCTCCCACAGGCTCTGGGCTGGGTGCTTCCTCTCCCCCAGGCTCTGGGCTGGGTGCTCCCTCTCCCACAGGCTCTGGGCTGGGTGCTCCCTCTCCCACAGGCTCTTTGCACTGACAGCTCTTTCAGTCCCCAGGTTTCCACACCTCTTTTGAGAAGTTCCTCCAACTTCCTCACCTGCAAGCAGCTATTCCAACCCTCAGCCTCCCGCCTTGCTTCCCATGCCCTTGCACGAAGCTTGGCTAAGCCTGGTGCTTGTCAAACAGTGAAGGGGGAAGCTGCTCCATAAGGGCTGCTCTCCTTCCACTCCCTCACTGAAAGCCAACTGTGCAAGCTGCTCCCACCTGTGCTTTCAGGTCCCCATTCTAATGACTTCTGATGCATAGATAAACTCCCTCCTCTTTCTCAGTAGGCTCTTAGCAAAGTGATTCCCTGCTTGTTAGAAGCCTGTGAAGGAGGAGGCTATCACTCTGCACAGTAGGTACCCCAGGGATGGCACAGTCCCTCTGAGCCCAGGCCAGAATCTTCTACACAGCATCCCTACTTCTTGTGGGTCAGCTACCCTCCAACCTCAACTGTGTGTGAAAGATATACCTCATGCTGGTCTCCAGAGTAGCTGAGGCCTCTGAACTAAACTTGGATCTGGACAGTCTCCAACCGGAAGCTTTTCTGAGGCCAAACTGGTTGAGCGTACACAGGACCCAGAGCCAACAGCTTAGGTAGACACAGGTGCTAGCACCTTAGCTTGAAGAAGGGAGTGCACAAAGTTATGTGGCTGCTTTAGAACCCTAGCTTAGAGCTTTAGACTCCCAGGGGACTGAACAAAGAAAGGCCCTAGAGTTAAAGCAATGGAGGTTGGTTCATGCTGCACTACACACATACAGACACCTTCCTGAGTCTCGCTCACTGCAGCCAGGCAGTGGTCTTCCACACCCAAGAGCTCCACACTGAACCTGGGACCCATGCACAGGATGGCTCTAAGGAGTCTGTCTTCATTCGTGAATCTTGGGGCCAGGGCTCAGGGTGGTAGCCACCTAGCCCTGTGCCTGTTGCTCCCTCCAGGTGGTCACAAGAGGGGCAGTGAAGGGCACAGAATGGGCTGTTAGCTTTCCAGTACCCATGATTCAGTATGGCCACTCTCCAAATCTTTATTGCTGCCCCTCTGCTCTCCTGTCATACGCAAACTTCTAAGTAGGACATCCCAGGTAGAGATTTCACACACTCGTGTGTCTAATGACTTGGAAGGCCACCACTGCGATTCAGAGCGGCCCAGGTGAGAGCAAATGAAGTATATCATTCTATTTCCCCTTTCCCCTCAATGCAGCTTAATACCAGCTATTTTAGCCCAATTAGGTTAGGATGTCTGCTTATTTTAGACTCTCTCTCTAACACAAACACACACACACACACACACACACTCTGTCTCTCTCTCTCACACACACACGCATGATCTCTGCCCCGCTGTCTCACTGTCTCTCTCTCTCTCTCTCTCTCTCTCTCTCTCTCTCTCTCTCTCTCT